GGTATGATGCTACGGTATTTTTTTTTATATGTCTGCGGTAGAAAAGAGCGATACAGAATTTCTTTTTTTCCTTGAAGGACGAGGAGCGGCTGACAGTACGATTAAGAACGATAGGCTTTCATGCGGGCGACATCGGTTCGATAAGGTTATACTCATCCTGCATGGATCTTGGCGACTGTACCTTAAACCCTTAGGCTTAATTAAAGAGCTTCCCTTTCATTTCCACAACCCGCCCTCTCCCTCCCGATCTTACGCCGCTGCAAAAGTGGTTAACACGGGCAGTAATTGAGGTTTGATTTAGAACGGCGATCACATCTGGGTAACACCCACCCTGTGAGGATTTGTCTAGCTAAATGGAATAATATCTGTTGCAAATGATAGGAAGCCCCAAAGAAAAAAGATGATAATGTAATTATAATGTCCTTGTACTGGAACTCACAGAATCAAAGGAATAAGGCCGAAAAAAAAAAATTTAGAAAGAGAGGGTTAAAAATTAGGACGACTTAGTTGATACCCTGTGATCTACTGGAAGATAAATTGAAGAAGATGAAGTAGAAGAAGAAAATAAAAAACGAAGAGAAAGAAGAAGAAGAAGAAGAAGAAGAAGAAGAAAAAGAAGAAGAAGAAGAAGAAGAAGAAGAAGAAGAAGAAAAAAGAAGAAGAGGAAGAAGAAGAAGAAGAAGAAGAAGAAAAAAAGAAGAAGAAGAAGTATAGGAAGTAGAAAAAGAAGAAAAGAAGAATATGAAGAAAAAAGGAAGAAGGTAAAGAAGAGGATGAAGAAAAAGAACATGAAGAAGAAGAAAAAGAAGAAGAAGAATAATAAAAAGGAGAAGAAGAAGAAGAAGAAGAAGAAGAAGAAGAAGAAGAAGAAGAAGAAGAAGAAGAAGAAGAAGAAGAAGAAGAAGAAGAAGAAGAAGAAGAAGAAGAAGAAGAAGAAGAACAAAAACAAAAATAACAAGAACAAAAACAAGAAGAAGAATTCAATTAGAAGAAGAAGTAAAAGATGGAGGAAGAATAGGAGAAGAATATTTAAAGAATAGCAGCGATAAAATCTGCCCTCTAGCCTTAAAGACTTTTCACTCACTCGACTAATGGAGCCCTGAGGTCTACAACCCAATAATCTGGACTTTGTTTTATGATTTTGCCACATCGCTGCTTAGATGCAGGATAATTGAAACAAAGCTGACAGAAAGCCACATTAATTAGATTTTAAGTGCAAAGGACAAAAACACAGATAATTAGAATAAATTAACCAATAGATAGCGAAAAGATTACGGAGACTTGAATAAATTAAATAACCCAGAGACAGCTTATTCTCATTTGTTGAAACCTCATAGAGTTACTTTATGATGATGATGATTAAAATAAATCTGAAGAGATGACCAGATTAGACGAACAATATTTAGTTTAGTTTAGTTTTGTTTTTATGCGGAGTAGAATTAGTGTTTCTAACAAGCATGCTTTAGAAGATGGCTGTCGAGGCACAGTAGATCATTACGGTCTGAGGAGAATAGCACTGCCAGGAGTTACAAGGGGATCTGGCCGACGCTCGACACTCAGGGGAAAGGCGAGACGGATATACAATAAGATAGTTACTGATACCATCTTAATTTTAACTCTTCGCTTGCTGCTGAAGATGAGGATGGAGTGCTTAGAGGGGTGTTCCGAATGCTGTGATGACGATTGTCAGTTCAACATTCAACAACATTCAACATTCAAAAGATGACTGACTGATGATTTGCTGACATCTAGTGCACCGAGCCAAAGAGTGCAGATATAACTACCTAGCTATAAACCAGATCACATCATGCACACCACTCTTTTAAGGATAACCGCAGAAGAAATATATGCATTTCGATAAGCACTCCTTCCCAAACTTTAGCAGCCAGCTTAGCACTTCTATATTAGTGACAATACTTATGTTCTAATTATACGGTCGTTTTACTTTTTCCCTGAACGTTGAGTACCCGTTTGGTCACTGAATACACCTCTTTGAATCGTTCACGTTAAAAAAAAAAAAAAAGAACCGATCTGGAGAAAGATTATGACAACCGAAAAGATTATGACTTGTAAAGACAGAGGAAGAATATAGGTTGGTGTGTACTCACCCACAGAATGATTTCATTTAGAGAACAATAAGAGTCTCCATAGCGAACTTCAAGGACCCTCACTTATCACTATGGCACATGCTGATGATGTCTGAGGTTTGAGCAACAGATCAACAACATGGCACACAGGTAGTTATCCATAAGTGTTCCGGGCTTCTTCTAACTCAAGTCTGAGTCAGAAGAAGCTCAGCACAGTGCACAGGCTCTGTAGCACCGGCGAGGATCCTGAAATACTTTGGGTAGATTTTAAACTCAAAATTTAGCCCAAGCAGCGCCGTTAAGCAACTCTTTTATATTTCCAACTGCCAAGGGATTTTTTTTACGTGGCAACAATGCACACGGGCGTCCGATCTCACTACCCAGATACCAGGGGGAATTACTAGAAGTCCAATTCCACATGCAAAAATCCCAGCCCTTACCGGGGATTGAAGACGGAACCTCTAGTTTCAATAGTTTCAGTTCTACTGTTCCTCCTTTTACCTCATCTTTAGTGTTGTTGGAGCTGTAATGATTTTCTGTGTTCCTTCTATGCACTGTGTAAGTCGGTTTTAATTTGTCAAGGCTGTTTTTGAATCCGTTTTCCATTCTTTGTCAGATCTTCGCATTATATATATATTTTTTTTTCTAGCGTGGCTCTCTGTGACAGCTATACTAGGGTATTCCTGTTAGATGATGAAACCATTTCACTTATTGCTTTTTCGAGGATTCGAAACCTTTTAATTCTTCCTTCTTATTTGTTCACCGGCTAAAAGCGGACAGTCCTGGTTAATCGTCCATTTTGACTTTGGCATTCTGCTAGGAAAAATTACCTTGGCACCCAGGTGGACCCAACCTTGAGTGGGTACGGGTGCATTCCCGGGAAGTAGAGGCGGCCGGAGTGTTTCTGACCACATCACCCATCTTGTGCCGATTGGTCTATAAAATATAGGTCTAGCCCTATACGCATGAAGGCGAGGAAATGGAGCCTTTAATTTTTACTTATTGTTCTAGGGCTTGAGTTTTTAGTGTAATTCCATTTTACTGGCTTATTTATGTGCAGCTGGTTGTTCCTTGTCGCTCAGGCAGATTCACTCTGACTTCAGAAGAAGTTCCCAGTTAGTCGATCGCTCCACAAACTTATTGGGAAGGCATTGGGTCTATTCTTGTTTGCCCCGCAATGGCACCCCGGAACCCACACGAGAAGAGAAGGAAATTAATTACCCACGTCATCAGATTATGACGATTTCAACCCACCAGTGCAAGTTTGGTAATTGTTTGCCTATATAGCTTGTGGTTGACAGCTAACTCTATAAAATACCTCAAAACTCTACGACATGGCCATCGGCGGGTAAGAGGCCGCATAACCTCTCCCCCCTGCTGCCTTGCAGGGTAAGTCTCTTTAGACAAAGGCTATTGGAGTCAAGGTATATACAAACCTGGGGAAGGCAAGGGGAAACCATACTAGTAAATTGTGCCTCAAAAAAATATGAATTCAGATAACGACGTGAATGGGTATTCCAGTGGAGGAAGGAGGGATAGAGGAAGATAAAGAGAAGATGCTTGACAGCCTTGTTGCATGGCATGAAGGTGTGTCGGCACCTCCATGATACATGCTACAGGAAATTGCAGATAATGGAGAGGCATGATCGCCCACATCAGTCGGCAAGGCACCTGATGATGATGATGATGCTGATCTTGTGGTTGTTGTACGAATTTGCTGACTGCTTCGCTTGCAAGACTATCGACTCCCAAAGACATACTTGTATGGTGAGATACAGCTGGGTAGACGCTCTCATTGTGGCAAGCCTTTGTAGTAGACCATGACACTGGCGAGGCTGCTGTACGAGACCAGACTACATGACGAACGTCTGTCCGAAGAAGGGCATCGACTTGCGAGGCGTTTCGAAAAAGGGCAGCTGAACAGCACAGGTAGGCTAGAAAGACCCGCATAACCGGTCCGTTACCCAAATTTACTGTTTCCTGCCCACATTGTACTAGATCAACAGTTCTCAACCTGCGGGTTGAGCCCTTTTCTTTGGGGTCGAACGACCCTTCCACAGGGGTCGCCAAAAACCATCGCAAAACATATATTCACTTGTTATACTTTTCCTTCCGTTTCATACTTTTTCTTGAAGTAGCAAAAAAAAAAAAAAAAATTGTATTGTTGAAGGTCACCACAACATGAGGACCAGTGTTGCCACTTTGGATGTTTTACATCCATATTTAGATGTTTTCTCTTGCATTTAGATGGCGTTTTTGACGTTTAGATGGTAGATGTTTTTCTAGACGTTTTCATTTGGAGTAAATTCATCAAATCTAAACTGAGGAACAGGATGAAATTTGACCTCTTAAATACTATCTTGACAATAAAATTCGGCCTGATAAGAGTAGGAAAAGGCTGCTCCAGTTATCAGCTCCCTTATTGGGTATTGAGAGAAATTTGAACAGCTAAAGCACACCAGTCATTTTGGATCTGAAGCCTCAAATTCATCATCCAATCTAAGTTTATCCTGTGGATCTTGTGAGGCAGACTTCAGTAGAGATCAGGACATGATTTTATAGGGCAAGTCATATCAATTGCTATGTAATTTGTGACTCTTTCCATTTAGATGTTCTTTCTAGATGTTTTCCACGCAAATTTAGATGTTTGTAGATATTTTTGACTCCGTTTTGGATTTTTTTTTGTAAAGAAAAGTGGCAACACTGATGAGGACATGTATCAAAGGGTCGCGGCATTAGAAAGGATGAGATCTACTGCCCTAGATCCTTTCGAGCACGTATTGGGTTTATAAGTCACCTCGGGACTTACGATCAAATATAGTTTCATGACGGATGAAAGAAAGAGTAGTTCTCATCACTGGTGATGAAGGAATAACAAAAACATGTTAACTGTTCACAGAGACGACAGCAGACATGAAATTCTTGGCGCCGATATTTGCCCTCGTGGCCTTGACTGCTGCCAACACAGTCCAGTTTGAACCACTCAGTGATGAACAGATTTTCTACATCAATAACCTCTCAGGTGCTAACTGGAAGGTTGGTCATTTTTGATATCGGATGTAGGAATGTTGGATACAACACAATAATCAATTTCTTTCTTTGGTTTGCCTGCTTGCCTGTCTGTTTATATGTCTATTTTCTTTCATTCATTTTTTCTTTCAGTTTAGTTTCTTTTAATCGATCCATCCACTAATCTATCTATCTATCCACATACCTATCCATCCGTCTATCCATCCATGCATCTATCCACCCACATACCCATCCATCTATTATCCATCTATCCAATAATTAATCCATCCATCCATTCATTATGCATTTATCCATTCATTCATCTATCTATTCATCCACCCATCCAACCAGCCATTTATCTATTCATCCACCCATCTATCTGTCCATCTATCCATCCATCCATTCATCCACCCATCTATCTGTCCATCTATCCATCCATCCATTCATTCACGCACCCACCCATCCATTCATTATCCATCTATTTATTATATGACGTCACCCAACAATAACTATATCTCTATGACTTTCCATACAGCTCTTTTTAGGGAAAATATCCTGTTCTTTCCACTTTCTTCTTCTTCTTCTTTTTTCTACTTCTTCTTTTATCTGCCATTTATCCCACAGTGGATCATAGGTCCCCAGCCAACTAATGCCGAATCGTCCTTGCCTTTGCTATCTCATGCAGCTCACGCCATGTCCTCCTTAAATTCTTTACTCCACTCTCCAGTTTCCTTCTCCGAATTTTAGTTTTCTTTGTCAGCCCTTATTTCTATGCCACTGTGGGCTCCAGTGCAACTGCCTTTTTGTTATATTGTCGTATGATCTCCCTCCCCCCCCCCCCCCTTTTTTTTCCCACTTTTTTTAACGTGTAACTTACTTATCCAACGCGACGTCTTTTTTTCACCTCTTGATTTCCTGGAATTTGCTTAGTTTTCTCCCAAAGTTCCACATTGATAATTCTGTGATACCAGTTCCCTGCGCAGCTAATGAATGTTAGAGGTGTATTAGTAATTTGTTTAGTTGTTCTCTACCTGTCAGCACTATATAGAAATGTTGATCACCATTATTAACATCAACTTCCAGTCAATGCGGCGGATAGGCCGTTTTACTGTTTCTAGTCGTGGCAAGTTTTTGCTTTTAACTATAACTAGTCATTGCATTTTCCTCTATATTTAGACTGATAGGATTTATCCCCGTCGCCCAGCTACTGGGTTGATCGCGGGAAACGACACTGTGAGCTGCTGATTTCATTTGGAATGCCTTTCGACTGAACCCAGCGTGGCATGTATTGTGAACTGCAGATTCAGAAAATTCCGAGCAGCCTATGGCCAGAGAAAACTGGTGGTGCCTGGTACATTAATTGCGTGTCTGACTACTGATCTGTTGTCACTGCTACTTCCATCGACAACAAAATGCATTTTTAGTGTCGGATTGCTTGTCTCACAGTTTCTGACGGCAGTCTTATGCATTTTATGCGTGTGTATGCTATTAGTTTTATTGAACTACAGTCTTTGTCAGCTTTGTTTACATGGGTCAGTGAGGGACATTCTGTGTAGCTTTCGTTGGCATAGGAACACAGCAAGTATGAGGTAATTTGTTTGCGGTGATGTTGGAACTGCCGTCACCTGATTACAGCCATACTGTTCTGACATTAGAGCTAAATATTTTTATTTAGTAAGGTTTCATGGATCAAGAAAAGAAAAAAACATCGACATTTTTATACGAGTTAGACATCAATGAAAACTGGCTCATACACAGCGTCCTGTCCCGAAAGTTGAAAGTATTTTGGCCAATCACACGTCATGGTGGCTTGGAAAAAAAAAACTGTGATGGAGGTTGCAGTTTGTGGAAAGCGAGGCAGGGGTCGACCTCTGCGAAGACGGATACAGGACATTGAAGATGCATTAGCATTGAAAACACATGGGGCTGAAGAGCTGGCTAGGGAGAGGGATACTTTCAGGCGTGTCGTGAAGAGAGCGACGTTTTGTCAAGGACATGCTGATTGATGATGGTGAAGGTTTCAATTTCTTTTGAATTCCATTGATTTCGCAGTGTTGAGAAAACTCATCCTTTTTTTTTTAAATTCGTATTTTAATATATCTCCCAGTCCGCCGATCTTTGTCAAAATTACTTTCTAGATCCGTGTATGATTTTTACATCTTGGATAGCCTTTCTTCGAGAAAAATTGTTTGCTCGGGTTATTCTCATTGTCTTCCAATTCCCCATCCCCTCTTCTTTTTACCTATCTTCTTTTACCCCACCAGGACATTACACAAGCGATAAGCACCCGATGACAAAAAGTGCCACCATGTTGATGAGGATCAGTAGTGGAGAGATCCTAGAAACCATGTTCAGCCATTAGACCATATTTATGTCCAGGCTATATTACAGCCCCTGGCAACAGCCAGAGTAAGGCTTCTAATAACGAAAAATTCCATCCCGCAAAGGGATGACAAGATGATAATTTTCCCCCTTATAAATTTTAGATCTAAACTTAGAGTGTACTGCATGAGAACAACAGGCTACAACCAAAAGGCAGACCAAGAAAGAGATGGGTGGAGGGAGTAAATGAAACACTACAGAAACGTATGACATTAATACAAGCTACACGACTAGCAAAAGACAGAAAAACTTATAAAACATAACTCCTCTTTCAGGCCGTTTGCGGTATAAGCTGTGGGACAAAAGAAGAAGATTGTAAAGGTTTGAGGTTGGTTTCCCTTTGCTGCTGCTGTCTCCGTTGAATATTTCTTGTTATCCGCCATTGTTCGGCTGCCAACTTTCTTACTAACTACTGTGTATTTTAATTTTAGTAGCTCCAGCTTCGCTGTTGTTTAGGTCTCTCTTTTTGCTGTTCTTTTCTTCAATTTTCAAGGGTTTCAGGCGTTACCCATGCCTTATATTTCCCACCCCTCTACCGTAGACTTTTACACATGATGCATTTCAAATTCCTGTAATCTATTAACAGCAGATTTCATTTCTTACCTCATCAGATATGCACTGCAGGACCTGGTATTTTTCTGAGACGATTGCAGGAATTTGTTGGTTTTTCATTGACATTTGTATGTTAAAGAAACTCCATCAGCTTTCCTCAAGCATTTCATTTCCCAACTCCCATCACCCTCTGCGTTCCTTACCTCGTTCTTGAAGACAACATTCTATCGTCTGCAGGCTGGCAGGAACTTTTACCCACACGAGCTGGAGAGAGCCAAGAGAATGTGCGGTGTCAACATTGCAGAAAACATGGAATACAACAAGTTTGTACTACAAAACATATAATATCAAGATCATCAATGTCATTCAGCATTGTTTCTTCCTCCCAAGTCAGCTGTAATGTGAATCCAACAACCCTCTGTCGTGCTTTACTACTGTTTCATTTAATACATTTTCTATCCCTTATCTTGATACTGTCCAACCACATGTAATGTTGTCTTTCTTTTGCACTTCTTCTGTCAAGTTCTTTTTCCTCCAACAAATATTAAATCGAAGGAGCTGTGTCTCTTTCGTAGATAAAGAAAATCAACCTAGTTCGTTTCCATATCATTATGTTTAGTGTGCACGTGCTGCCACTTCAACATTTTCTGTTTAGAAGTTAATCACAACTCGATTAGCTGTGTATGTGTCAAAATCTTGCTGGAGCTTTTACTTCGCATAAAATTTTAAGGTATCTTTTTTCAGTCTGTGTCAAAGTTTGAACCCGATTCTTCTTCTTCTTCTTTTCTCTACTCCTGGAATGCCTCGCAGCGTCAGGGCAGGAAGGGATCCATGGAACCGGCCCTTCTGTTCACTTCGTGTATAATACTTTTCCATGTCTCTGCTACTTCTGCGATCCACACTTTGCATAGTCCACCTCTGGATCTGTTACCGTTCTATCTTTATAACATTACTCTCTATGGTGTCCTGTCTCATGATAATCTGTTTACATGACTAAACCATTTAATCTGTTGTCTAACGATAAAGTTCGTTCCTATGTCGATCTTTCCTCGTTACACCTAGCATAGTACCTAAACACTTCATTTCTGTCGTGACTATTTTCCTATTTTCCACCCCTGTCTTCTGAAGACAGTGACCATCTTTGACATTGATACCAGAGCGTTGGTAAAAATGTTGTGTTGAACAGTTCATACTCATGAGCTTGCATTTCAAAATCGGTGCCATCTGGCCTATACTTGATTTACTTTATTGCATCTATGCTGGATTTCATTGTTAATTCTTCCTTCTAAGACCTCATTCTATTTTTTTTTTTTTATGACAAATGAAACCAACGACAACCGATGTGGTCAACATTTTACCGGCCGTCTTTACTTCCCAGGACTTCCTATGACACATCTAAGGTTGGGTGGACCAGCCAGCCAAGTTCCTTTTTGAAGGAAAAAAGTCGAGCTCTGCTTCCATTTCAACCCACAACCTTCGTAGACACTACGGTTCCCTTTAGTTGTGAGTGATAAAACAAAATAGGTCATGCCTCGAGATTATCGTTGGCTCCAGAGCAGACACCGGAAGAAGAAATAATTAAACAAACAAGTCATAATAAAGCAAATAGGTTGATTTTTAAAATAAAGTAGTAGTTTGCAATTTATTTACACGACTCACGAGCTGAATCTGATCGATAGAAAACATCTGGGCATCAAGGACATCCAAGTGAGGGAGGATCTGCCAGACACATTCGACCCCAGGACTAAATGGACCAGCTGCCCTAGTCTGAGTGAAATCAGGGATCAGTCTAATTGTGGCTCCTGTTGGGTTAGTTCTTATGTCTGTTGTGGACGTCATATCTTATCTTCACTTCATGTTTTTAGTGTCCACAACTGAATCACTAGTACCACTGTATCTGTGATCGTCGTTGTTATCATCAATAGCATTATCATCTTCATCAACAACATCATCGTCGTTACGTTCATCTTACTCCACCTCCGTCTAATCCTTATTTTCACCAGTATCATTAACGCGCGCTTTGTCGGGCCGCACTGATGGTCACATTCTTCCACAAGCACACGAATCTGACTGCTAATAATCAAACTCACCACTTTGTAGGCACATCGGGTAATTTCTCCCGCCAGCCTGTAACACTCTCAGTTTTTCCTAGCGTATCATCATCATCATCATCAGGTGCCTTGCCGACTGGCGTGGGCGATCATGCCTCTCCATAATCTGCGATCTCCTGCAGCTTGTATTAGTTCGTGTGCTGATACACCTCCATGTCATGCAACAAGACAGTCAAGAATCTTCTCTCGTTGTCTTCCTCTATCACTTCTTCCACAGATCTTTCCAGTGGTCATAACACATTAATAGAGTATACAAGGTGTTAAAATAAGATCTCCCATGACTCTTCTGGCAGGCTTTCGGGGCTGTTGAGGCAATTACCGACAGGATCTGCATCAAAGGGGGAGGTCAGGTTCACATCTCGGCAGAAGATGTCAATGATTGTTGCAAAAGCTGTGGAGATGGGTGAGTATTTCCTGTGTAAAGAAGTGTGCTTGTTGGTTGTGCAAACTTCTTATAGTCTAGGCCATGTCTCTTAGATCATTGCGTCTGCCCACGGTCACTTCTCTTGGTTACCGCATCATTTCTGACACAGATATCGCTACACTTCTTGGCTTACTTCTGCTTCTTTTCCCATTTAAGTGTTACCATGCTCCCACTAACTCTATTTTTTCCTGTTCATATTCTTTCCGGACTCTTAACTTCTCCTCTTAAACTGTTCCGACTCCACTACTAACTCTAACTTTTCCTATTAAGCTGTTCCCACATGTCCTACTAAAATGCCCCCACGCCACCACTGGCTTTACCTTTACCTTCCCACGCCCAAACAACTCTAACATTTCTTGTTTAACAGTTCCCACGCCACCATTAACTCAAACTTGTCCCACTAAATTGTTTTCACGCCAAAATTAACTCTAACTTGTCTTATTAAACTGCTCCCACGCCACCACGAACTCTAACTTGTTCTATCTAACTGTTCCCACGCCACTACTAACTCTAACTTTCCATTTTAAACTGTTCCCATAAACTGATTTGCTTGGGATTTCCGGTTTTCAGCTCATTATTTTGGCAGGATGTCTAGTTTTTAGCCCAAAATATTAGTGTTATGTCTCATTGTTTGCTCAACATATAAGTGAGATGTCCCGTTTTTAGGACAAGATATAAATGTGATGTCCCGTTTTTAGGGACACATATTAATTGGATGTCCCGTTTTTAGCTAAAGATATTATGATCATCCGTAGCAGTTAGACGCTTACCTGCGGGTCGGAAGGACGTGGGTTCAGTTCCTTACTGTACAGGACATTTTTCAGAAATGACCTTGGCTTCCGGAACGTCAAAAAGCCTTGAATGGGTACCCGGTAAAGTCACCAACCTGGTTAGTGCTGATGGCTATATAATTGGTCTAGCTTTGTATGCACAGTACGGCTAATGGCATGAATAAGGGCCATTTTTTAATATCCAGAAACCATAAGTTGTAAACCTTCAAGTTCGTACTAGGGATGTCGCAACCCTTTGGCCTTGATTCTATAACAGATACCATAAGTCTAGGAAATATGTGGCTCTGATACCTACCCCGAGCGTAAAATCATACCACAAAAATTTTGTCACCCAGTTTAAGCAACCTAGCTAGCGCGCCGGGTGTAAAAGGGTCCTTTGATTTACTTTACTACATAGCAGTAATGTTTTTTGTGTCAAAAGCAAGTAAGCACAAATCGGTGTATCATGTCTATATTTGTCTCTTCTGCTGTAGATGCGACGGCGGTTATCCCGGTGCAGTGTATCAGCTGTATGCATCAGACGGCATTGTGACGGGTGGACAGTTCGGGTCCGAAGAGGTAAGTCCTTTCTTCTCTCCCCCTCCGGGCTGCTACCTGAAGATTTGACACTACGTGATTGCAGGGGAAAATCCCCAAACACCCTTCAAAGAACAGTCATCATCAGCTGGCGTAGTCTTTCATGCATATCCACAGATCTCGATCTTTGGTGCTCTGGACCAATTCCACTGATGATATTCCTCTATGCCAATGTCTAAAGCCATCCAACATAATTTATCTTGGTCCGCCTCTGCCTCTTCTACAAGTGATCTTTCCAGTTGTCGTTTGCATTTTCCAATGCACCTTTTCTCCTCACATGACTAGAGAACTTTGTTCGTCTCCTTCTCATTGTTGTTTTTAATGTTTTACTTTCATTTGCCATTTTAAGGCAATCACTGTTAGTTATTCTGGCAGTCCGATATTGGCAACATTCTTCTCAAGAACCACATCTCGGTTGCCTCCAAATTCTACTTAATGTGTTTGCTCACATTCCGAGATTCACTGCCATACAACAGAACAGGCTCAATTTAACATTTCATTACTTTTTTTCTGATGTTTGAAGAGAATGATTTATTACATAAGATACTTTCTATCCCTGAAATGCTGTCTTTGCCTGACCAATTCTGCGTTTAACAATGACGCTGCTACGTACTCCACCAGCGAACGTTGTCACTGCTAAGCAAGTTCCCCGCTGAACTTTTCCCTAGTACTGAATACTTTTCTATCCTCCAAACACAAAAGATAAGTCGGCGGCGAGGGCTCTATTTTGTACATCTGAAAATATTAACCATAGGTCCGAGTGCTAACAAATCAGACACACTATGGCGACTCCAAGTAACACATTTACAGAAAGGAAACACTAGAAACTAGACTTATTTGCCCGGCTTCACTCGGGACAGTGACAGAAAAAGAATACTCAGATAGGTCTGTCTTTGTCTCGACCGCTACCACATATGTAGTAGAAACACAGGGAACACAACAGTAGCCTTTCGATCGTCAGCAGGAACATTCTTTGAATGTTTAAACAGCTTTACATTCCTTGCAGGTGGATATTGCAAGACAATTTGTATTCTTCCTGCCTCTACTTCATCGTCATCTCAACCGTGGCCATGTGTTTAATCATTGCAGCGAGTGCATCTTAGGCTCGTACAGTCCCCTGGCCTGTTCCACCGAGGTTACGGAATAACTGAGGTCTAGGAGAATCAAAGCACTTCACCCCAGGCCGTGACTCGCACTGATTACAAATCACCCTTCCCCTCCTCTTTCTCACAGTCTAATTCATAAATCTACCACTTTAGTCATAATTAATTGTATTCCCCTTGTTATTATTATAAAAATCTTTTTTATATAAATAATTAATACTTTGGTGATGTGTTGCTGGAACTGTCAAGAGCTGAAATGTAAAATAAAAAATAAAAAGTATTATAGAGGTTTTGTAGACCTTTGAATTGTAAGGCAAACACGGTATCACAGAAACCGATCACGTAACGGCACTAAGCAGAGAAAGACATAAAATAGATAGATAGATAGAAAGAGAAAAACAGACAGACAGACAGACAGACAGACAGATAGATAGACAGATAGATAGACAGATAGATAGATAGATAGATAGATAGATAGATAGATAGATAGATAGATAGATAGATAGATAGATAGATAGATAGATAGATAGATAGATAGATAGATAGATAGATAGATAGATAGATAGATAGATAGATAGATAGATAGATAGATAGATAGATAGATAGATAGATAGATAGATAGATAGATAGATAGATAGATAGATAGATAGATAGATAGATAGATAGATAGATAGATAGATAGATAGATAGATAGATAGATAGATAGATAGATAGATAGATAGATAGATAGATAGATAGATAGATAGATAGATAGATAGATAGATAGATAGATAGATAGATAGATAGATAGATAGATAGATAGATAGATAGATAGATAGATAGATAGATATAATAACAATACACCCTGTATTTGTTCGCTTGTTTTGTTGGAGCAGTTAAAGTTTGTACCCAAGTACATATTTTATTCTATTCTTATTATTCCCCCTGTGGGTTCCGCGGCTCCCTTTGTGGGAAAAAACAAGAACAGACCCACTCTCACCCAAGCAAGCATGTCGTTAGAGCTGACTAACTGGAAGCATCTGCCTGAGAGGTAAGAAACCAGCAATCTGTATACACATATGCCAGATCTGTAAAACGGATGTGCACGCAATACTCAGATTCTGGAACCAGACAAAATCCAAAGGTGGACAAAGAAGCAACTTTCCATTGAAGTTTACACCTGGTGAACATGAAGAATGAAGAAGAAGTGCATGTGATCGGAATATGTATCTCTACTCTAAATCCATAAACCCTATATTTATGCTAGGAAAACATTTTCTCCATTAGGGATGCAAGCCCTACTCTCTTCCTCATTGTGATCATCACACAACCGGGAAATACCCAAAATGTAAAGGGGATGCCCCAACACCAGCCTGCCAGTTAGCCTGCAGAAGTGGCTACAACAAAACCTACACTGAAGACAAGAGGAAAGGTTAGTTTATTCTGGTCATGGGTAATCAGTATCTCCATTCTTTCTTTCACTTCTACTATCATACCTTTTTGTATCTCTTATTTAATTCTTTCATTGCTTTTGATTCTCTTCCAACTCTTTTCACCCCCTTATTCTTTTCACGCCTTCATTCCTTCTCACAATAATAAACGCAGAGCTATAATAATACCATACTGATTACGATCCTCAAGTACCGCATTTTTCGCATTTATGAGAAGTTTGGACCTTTTTCCCCATCATCATCATCATCATGTAACAGGGCCTTTTCAGAACGTAGCTCTCATCACAGTTTGCCTGAAAGAAACTCGGTCTCTCGCCAGTTCTGCTGCCTCATGTACTTTCAAACTCAAGGAGTCACTTATATCCTGTGCCCATCTTCGTGTCGGTCGGCCCCTGCCCCTGCTTCCTGGTACGATGCCTTCTGCTATAGCTTTTTCCAATCCGTTGTGGCACTTGATATTTTAGCTTTCGAGAAAGGATGCTTTTTATCAGCCAATCTTCCTTGATGTTCAGATCTTTTAAGATGTCAATATTTCTTTTCTTCTTTGTCCAAGAAATTCTGAGAATCTTCCTACAGCATTTCAGCTCAAAAGCACCTATTATCTTTCTTAAGGACAGGGAGATAGTCTACGACTCGCATCCGTATGTATCCACAGGGAAGATGCATGCTCTCAAAATTCTAATTTTTATATTCTTGCTGGTGCTTATCCATAGACTTTTAAACCTTCTTCCCACTACCAAGAAATTCCAAGGAGAGATATACACGAAAATATTGCTAGACGATGTAAAGTTAAAGGACAAGTGGAAATCGACGAAAAGCCAAACCACTACATTCATTTTCCAAGAGTAAATTGGTAAACAATCATAAGGTCAGGTTCATGTAGAAGTCCACGTCAGACGAGTCAAGCATAAATTCTAATGTCTGTTGACGAACATTGCTTCGCAGATAAATGGCACTAGTTGAATATTTATAGTACAATGGTTTAAGTAACGTCAATCTCCCTAAAAAGGGTAGGTAACTTTTAGTTCACAAGTTTGTTGGGCTGATTGACTTTCCTGAAGGTTACGGGTGTGTCCAGCTCTGTTGGAACTGCCAATCAGAAGTGAGCTAGTGTGTATATGGGCGGTGCGTGGGAAGACTAACATTACGTGTACCAGTCTAATTGGCTTTAGATGGGGGAGTGGCCAACATCTTGCCCTCTGCCTTTACATCATGGAACTATCTAACTATTAATGATATCAACTGTGTGTGTGTTTTGTTTATTTTTTGTTGTTGTTGCGAATCAGATATTTTGCTCCGGAACTTCGCTACGCAGATGACACATTCCTTCTGTCAAACCGTATAAAGGGAATAGAAAACTTAATCATGTCTGTCCAAAAGCACAGTGAAGATCAAAACCTATTCTTGAATTAAAAGAAAACTAAAATAATGTCCACAGACAAAATTGGCTGTCACAAAAAAAAAAAAAAAAAAAAAAATTGATGAAGAAATTGAAAATGTCTCAAACTTTAATATAACAAATGGTTTAGATTTAGGTTTAGACGACAGATCAACATCATGGCACACGGGTAGTAACCCATAAGTGCTTCGTTCTACTTTTGACTCAAGCCTGAGTCCAAAAAATCTCAGCGCAGTGCACGAACTTCGTAGCACCGGCGAAGATCCTGAAATACTTTTAGTATATTTTTAATTCAAAATTTTGCCCTGGCGGCACCGTTAGACTACTCTTTGTCGATTTCCAACTGACAAGGGATTATCTACGTGTGCAACAGTGCACACGGACGTCCGATCTCACTACTCAGAGACCAGGAGAAATTCCGGGACCTTCATCACCTGAAACGACCGCCATGCATTGAGACAACATAGACTATTTGACAGAAATCAAAAGGAGGATAGCAATAGCAATAACGTTTAAACAGCATTCGAAGTCTATGGTTAAAACTAGCAAGGAAATCAAAATTAAAATTTTGAGAGCATGCATCTTTCCTGTAGCAACATACAGAGGCGAGTCGTGTACTATCACGCAATCCTTAAGAAAGAAAATAGGGGCTTTTGAGCTGAAATGGTAAAGAAAGATTCTCAGAATATCATGGACAAAGAAGAGAGGAAATACTGACATTTAAAAAGATCTGACATTAGGAAAGGTTGCCTAATAAACAGCATCATGTCTCGGAAACTGAATTTTTTTGGGTCAAATCAAGAGCCGTGGCGGATTGGAAAACACTATATCAGAAGGTATGGTACAAGGAAAGAGAATTAGGGGTCTACCAGCACGAAGATGGGCGCAGGATATGACTCCTTAAAATTGAAAGTACATGAGGTAGGAGAGCTGGGGAGAGACAGAGATTCTTTCAGGCAGATCGTGATGGGAGCGACGTTCTGCAAAGGACCCGCATATATTTTCCTTTCTAATAATATTTCCCTGTTAGCAAACACCAATAGGAGTTTGAAAACAAAAATACACGGAATTAAAATTAAATGCATCCAAAAATAAACGCCCTAGTAAACCGATGGGAGTAATTCATGAAAGGTGAGGAGATATGAGAAATGTTTTGGATAACCACTGGTATCCAGTGCTAGAGGACAGGAGATATGAGAAATGTTTTGGATAACCACTGGTATCCAGTGCTAGAGGACAGGAGATATGAGAAATGTTTTGGATAACCACTGGTGTCCAGTGCTAGACGACAGGAGATATGTGAAATGTTTTGGATAACCACTGATATCCAGTGTTAGAGGACAGGAGATATGAGAAATGTTTTGGATAACCACTGGTGTGCAGTGCTAGAGGAAAGGAGATATGAGAAATGTTTTGGATAACTACTGGTATCCAGTGCTAGACGACAAGAGATACGAGAAATGTTTTGGATAACTACTGGTATCCAGTGCTAGAGGACAGGAGATATGAGAAATGTTTTGGATAACTACTGGTATCCAGTGCTAGAGGACAGGAGATACGAGAAATGTTTTGGATAACCACTGGTATCCAGTGCTAGAGGACAGGAGATATGAGAAATATTTTGGATAACCACTGGTATCCAGTGCTAGAGGACAGGAGATATGAGAAATGTTTTGGATAACCACTGGTATCCAGTGCTAGAGGACAGGAGATATGAGAAATGTTTTGGATAACCACTGGTATCCAGTGCTAGAGGACAGGAGATTCGAGAAATGTTTTGGATAACCACTGGTGTGCAGTGCTAGAGGACAGGAGATATGAGAAATGTTTTGGATAACCACTGGTATCCAGTGCTAGAGGACAGGAGATATGAGAAATATTTTGGATAACCACTGGTATCCAGTGCTAGAGGACAGGAGATATGAGAAATGTTTTGGATAACCACTGGTATCCAGTGCTAGAGGACAGGAGATATGAGAAATGTTTTGGATAACCACTGGTATCCAGTGCTAGAGGACAGGAGATACGAGAAATGTTTTGGATAACCACTGGTGTGCAGTGCTAGAGGACAGGAGATATGATAAATGTTTTGGATAACCACTGGTATCCAGTGCTAGAGGACAGGAGATATTGTGCCCCATTGGGCACATCCTGAAAAAAAAGAGTAAAGGACTCCTATCCACGCCTTTAGGTGATTTGGCTATGCAGGACCAGACCTATGTTTTATAGACCAATCATGGGAAGGCACTTGATGATGATGATGATATTATGGTTTAATGTTTATTGAAAGAAATAATAAAGAATGTGGCTGCAAAATCTCATAAACTATATTTTTAATAATCCTTTTTAAAACATTAAAATATATTACCACATAATCGCATTAAAAATATTTTCAAAGAAAATTGCTTTAGTGAAAAATGTAGGCAAGCTGTGAGGCCGCTGGAGATGTGAGGCCCTTAGCTGAAGCTTAGCTCGCTTATACCTAAATCCGGCGCTACTACATGTGAACGCACCACAAGTTATGAGGATGATGATGATGTCGACGATAATCATGATGATATGTGAGCCTGTATCAATATTTCCCCCTCACCCCCCTCCTCCCCCTTTTTTTCAAACAAAAAAGGGTAAACACGAGATCACATAGCAGTGAGGTAAATTACCACTTCGATGATTCATCATTGTTTTGTTTTGTTGAAGCCAGAAGACATGAGTTGTTAACCTTTAGGCTCGGTATTATGGATATCGCAACCTTTCGGCCTTGATTTCATTGTAAATACCGTAAATCTGGAAGAAATGTGCTTTTCTGCCTTCCCCCGGGAGTAAACCCGGACCACTAGGAGTTCGTCACCCGGCCACCACGCAATTTGGTTTAGCCAACTACGCTAGCGAGCCGGGCGATGATTCATCATAAACGAACAAAGTTAAGGTAAGCATTTAAGGTTTGAGGTTTGAACAACGGATCAACATCATGGCACACGGGTAGCAACCTATAAGTACTCCGTTCTACTTCTAACTCAAGTTTGTGTCCGAAGTAGCTCAGCGCAGTGCACCGGCTCCGTAGCACCGGCCAGGATCCTGAAATATTTTGGGTAGATTTTCAACTCAAAATTGTTCCCGGGCAGCGCCGATAGGCTACTCTTGTCGATTTCCAACTGCCAAGATATTTTTTTTTACCAAGAAACAAGGAGAAATTACTTGAAGTCCATGTGAACATACAAAATCCTAGCCTTTACCGGGGCTTGAACTCGGGACCTATAGCACAATGCTTAGAGACCACTTAGCCCCTTAGTAAGCATTTAAAGCTCTTGCTACTTGCAGACAATTGTCTTTCAATAATCTTGTGTTGTGAAACTACCCACAGGATCGTCTGCCTACCAGATCTCCGGCGAGCAGAAGATTATGCAGGACCTGGTCGATAACGGCCCTGTCACTGCGGCATTCCAGGTTTACGATGACTTCTTGAACTACAAATCTGGTAAGTTCAATCGTAAATTATCACCATCATCATTATATCCAACACCTTATATTTATAGATCAAGAGAAGGTATTTGATCGAGTCAGTAGGGGCAAACTATTGAAACTTCTAGAATATTATGGTATTCGAGATCAACTGTGGAAACATCATCGCTCTTTAGCAAGATAATCAATGCACAGTAAGAACAAAGAAGGAATGATATACGTATACCCATTTCATCCGGTGTCAGACAGGGATATTTCCTCTCATCATTGCTATTTATTACTTACATGGATAGAATATTCCAGGAGGCAAATACAGACACTGTCGAAATCAATGAACTTATTTTTGCAGATGACCAATGACTAATACACAGCCAATAACAGAATTTACACGATCGTACTGACTCCTTACATCAAACCTGCACAAAGTGTGACATGAGAATAACACTGCGAAAACTGAGGTTATGAGAATAAGCAGGAAACACAGTTTGAAAGTTCATGATAACGGTATTTCAACGATCGGCCAGTATGCAGCACATCATAAATAATTTTTTTCTGAAGCCTGTACCAACTTCGGGTTAACTATCAACACTGATACAACTATTGTTATCTATCAACCCGCTCCCCCCCCCCCCCCCCCAAAAAAAAAAAAAAAATTCATGTGATCCCATTATCACCGTCGATGATCAAAAGTTAAATGTAGTCGACAGGTTAACTTATCTTGGCAGTACCCTATCTCAGAAAGCCAACATCGACGATGAGATCAATGTTAGAATCTCAAGGGCCAGTGGCAGTTTCGGCAGACTTTATACCAGTGTCTGGAACAGAAGTGGTATCTCCCCGCTGACCAAGCTACAGGTTTACAAAGCTGTAATTCTTCCAGTACTGCTACTCTACTCTTGTGAAACTTGGACTGTGTATCAACGACATGCTAAAAAGTTGAATCAGTTTCATATAACCTGTCTCAGAAAGCTGTTCAAAATCAAATGGCAAGATAAGATCCCAAATACTGTGGTTCTTGATAGGACAAACCTGCCTAGCATACACACGATACTGAAGAATTGTCAGCTGCGTTGGGCTGGTCATCTAACCCGCATGCCAGACTATCGCCTCCCAAAGAGAATATTTTATGGCGAGCTCCAGCAAGGGAGGAGGTATCAGGGAGGAAAGAAAAAGCACTATAAGGACACTCTGAAGACTGCTCTCAATTCTTTTGACATCAACACAGCGACGTGGAAAGCTGCTGCACGACCGTTCTGGATGGCGTACGTCCCTCAGGCATGGTGCATCGGCCTGCCAGACAGCAGAGGTTGCACGGGCAGAGAAACGGAGGCAGACTAGAAAGAATCGAACTGCTAATCCCACACCTACTGCGGCTTCCATATTTCCGCACTGCTCAAGAATTTTTTGGCTCATATTGGACTAATCGGCCACCTTCGTACTCATAATCATTGATCATTACTACTTTGAATGAAAAGTGGTCTTTATCATACGTGATGGACGAACAACTTCGATAAAAGCACTACGAGAATTCTTCTTCTTCTTCTTCTTCTTCTTCTTCTTCTTCTTCTTCTTCTTCTTCTTCTTCTTCTTCTTCTTCTTCTTCTTCTTCTTCTTCTTCTTCTTCTTCTTCTTCTTCTTTTTCTTCTTCTTCTTCTTCTTCTTCTTCTTCTTCTTCTTCTTCTTCTTCTTCTTCTTCTTCTTCTTCTTCTTCTTCTTCTTCTTCTTCTTCTTCTTCTTCTTCTGCGTTCATCCGAAGATGTAATTGCGTTGTGTCCGTTTACAGCGTGGCTGCGATATTTGCACCTTTCGGCCAACACATCCGACTTCTGCGGGCATTTGTTCACCGGGTTAGCCTCCCCGGTTAGGACATGGCAGTCTCATTGTTGTGTGGTCATCTTTATTTCTCACGTCACAGGTAGTGCCCCAATCAGGCTGGTCCAGAGAAGCCACATAATGCTGATCAGCCCTCAAGAAAAGGCAGGGGCAGAACACAAGAAAGCATATTTACGGAAGATGACACACTCGATAGGGAGATAGACAAAAGAAGAAGAAGATCATCATACGATAGTATACTACATCAACCAACAATTTACGGACCAGGCGGAAAGTCAAGAAGCAGCCGATTATGCAATGGATGGGCAGAAGGAATAACACAGTCCCTGTGAGAGCACTTTTACGAAGCGCACAAATAGGCACTTTCCGGTAAATTATTCACCTTGACACGGCAAGGCACAAGAGGGTCAAGATGTAATCATCATCTTCGTCGTCACTATGGCTGTTATAAAAAAAATGTCAGTTCCATAATCACTATCACTAAAGTTGCGTATCCTTTACAGGACGCCACAGAACCAACTCCAACATTTTTGTGTGTGGCTGTTGTAGTTTTTCTAGGCACGTTTTCTGGACGGACAGCTTCTCGATACCACTGTTGAAACCAACGTAAAGCGCCAGGCCCGCAGCTGGGATCTAACCCGGTACCCCAAGCATTACGAAGCGCGTTCGCAACGCCTCAGCCACAGACGCCGACTCGCTATCACTGGCTGTCATAATAATCATTTTATACCAGCACTTTCGTGATACTTATCCTCAACTTCGAATGTGGAAGCGAGAATAGATCAAGGTGTAAAGATTATTGTGCGGCTGGAGGGACCAGGGCATCCAGCCGAAACTATACTTGGAGGAACGGCAAGGTGGACATATAATCAAACTGCTACTGGTACCACTGGAACTGGAAATCTTCGATGGCTGCTGAAGGTAAGGATAGGGTGCATATGGGGATCTCCAAAGTGCGGAGGTGTTGTTTCTACATATTACCAGACATTTGTTACTTTAACTGCGTTAACCACAAACATTTCCCATCTTACAATATTTTGTACTTCACATTTTTATATCCCAAAAATTTGTTAATTTAATTATTTATATTACAGATAATTGTTACCTTATCTGTTTGAAATATTAGATCGTGTTACTTCACTTTTAACGTGAAATATTATTACGTTGACTATGCATAGCCCAATCAGTGGTTAGTTTAACCAAGTCTATATTTAGCAGTTGCCAAGTATGCTGTTTATATCTCAGCTGTAACGGTATTTTTTCCCCTTTATCTTAGAGAGTTGTCTTATAACTTTTTTATTTTGTCTCACGTAGTTGTTACCGTAACTTGAAAAACCTTATACAATTGTTACGGTAACATTTTTCCATTTCAGACAGCTGTTAATGTTACTTGTTTCTACAAGTCTCAAACAGTAGTAAAACAGTAACTTTGTTCTATAACAAAGAGGCGTTACTGTGTTTTGTTTTATGCAGACAATGGTTAATGTAATTTTACTTTTTTTAAACAGTTGTTTCTGTAACTTAAACAAAATATCTTACGCAGTTGTTAATATCACTCATCTCTAAGAGTTGTAACTGCAACTTTGTTATAGTCCACACAGTTGTTACTGTATTTTATTTTATTGCAGATAGTTTTTACTGTTATTTTACCTTTTTAAAACAGTTATTACTGTAATTTTATTTTATTTGAAACAGTTGTTACTGTCTGTTTACCTATTTCAACAGTTGTTACTGTGTTTTTACTATTTCAAACAACTGTTACTGTAATTTTGCATATTTCAAACAGTTATTAATGTATTTAAAAAAATATATATTTAAGACATTTGCTACTGTATTTTCTTTACTTATTTATAGCAGTTATTACTTTAATTATATCTACCCTGGTGGCTCTGTGTAGAATTTACTTAAATTTGTGGCGCTTTTTAATTAAAAAAACCAGGTGTTTACAAGTACACAACCGGCCAATTAAAGGGTGGACACGCAGTGAAAATCCTGGGATATGGTGTGGAAAATGGAGAGAAATACTGGCTGGTGGCAAACTCATGGAATGAAGACTGGGGTGATAAAGGTGAGTCATAAGTTCCACCATTTGGTATCAACATTTAAAAGTCAAAGAAGTGGGCACTATTGTAGTTGTACATTTGACCCCACTAGGACATCACACAAGCGATAAACACCCGATGACACAAAGTGGCACTATTTGCATGAGGATAACCCGTGGAGAGGTCCCGGAAACCGCGTTCAACCATAAGGTCATATTTATGGCCTGGCTATATTGCGGCCCTTGGCAAGAGTCAGAGTAGGGCTTCAAAATAACGAAAAATTGCATCCAACAAGGGAATGATAATTTCGTGTAGTGTATGTATGGCACTATACTGCGCAGATAGCAGAGAACCCCATACACTTGTTTCCAGATTTGCATTTGTGGGATTAACATATCAAGGATGGGATCAAATATGTATAAATCCCAGAAACCCTGTCCAACAGTATAAACGTATAAAGTTGGTTGCGTATGCTTTACATGATGTTTCAGACCGAAACGCAGCATTTTTTGGGCAGTTGTGGTTTTTCTAGGCAAATTTTCCATTCAACAGTTTGCCCCTGCTTTCTAAAAGATCAGCTCTGGGCACCACTGTGGAAACCAACGCAAGACAAATCATCCGCTGCTAGGATAGAACCCGACACCCCGGCATTACGAAGCGCGTTCGCAACGCCTAAGCCACAGACGCTGACGAATAGAAAGTACACACTTAAATTGGAGCACCAGGGGACAGTTACGAAGTAACCTGTTATCCAATTGGGTGGATTATGAGAGAGACACTGTTCGTTCGTTTGATTTCAGTTAGCCACGTTCAACCTCTTTCTAGGGAGCTAGCCTTATCTTTTTCAATATCGGTTATAATTATAGCAACAAACTGTGTTGCTATTAAATTGTGTAGTGAGAAGAGACGAACAGTGAATTTCCAAACAGGTATAGGTCGGTCAGTTTGATAAGCTATTTTCAACTGCTTCCTAGGATCTCCTAGGTAGTTTTGGTTATATTTATGGCTCCGAAAAGTGCTTTTATTTTTTTAGTGTTACTTACTGTTTGATGTTCTAGCCTCCCAAGTTTGTCGAGTCGGGGTGCTACTGTTTTGTGCTTGGTGAAGCACTGTGAGCTATGTTTTCATGTGAAATGCCTTGCATTTGTGCAGCGGTTAAGTCTTGGTATTACGGTTTACGTGTGTCTAGTGAAATACCTCATGTAATAATTTTATGTTTGTGTCAACAACTTTTTGTGACCGACTATTTCTATCAACGACAAACTGAATTTCTTGTGGCGATTGTTGGCTTTGGTGCCTCTAGCAACTGACATATGCATTTACCTCATTCACATATGTCTGGTTTGTGCCGGGGACAATTGTTCACTGTTTTTCTAACGGGACAGTGAGAGACATTTCATTTGATTTTCACTAACACAGGATCGGAGCAAGTATGGCGAGACCCGATTGCATGAAGTTGAAATTTAGACTAAAACTAAATAACTAAGACGTTCAAGAAAAACCCTAAGGGGCAAATTTTTTTAAAACTGACCTTGGCTTACAGGTCGACACAACCTCAGATGGCTACTAGGTAAAGAGAAGTAAAGGAGGCCGGCGTGATATTGGCCACACCACACACCGAGTACCGATTGGTCTAGCACTAAATGCAAAATACACCTGTGCGGCGTCCGTGGCTTAGGCGTTGCGAGTCCGACTCGTAATCCGACGTATCGCGATCGAAACCCACTGCTGCCTGCGTGGATTTTTATCATGGTATGGAACGTCGCAGGTCGACCCAGCGTAAAATGGGTAGGTACCAGGATAGCTGTTCTGAGAAAGTAAAGACAGCTGGCGTAATGCTGACCATGGTACCCATTCAGTGCCGATTGGCCTGTAAACAATATGGGACGCTCTTTCTATATACCCGATGCGCCTAAGACGTGAAAAGGGATCTTTACTTTACTTATGCTTTAAAACTACTGAAACTAGGGAGAAATAACAAACTCGGACCCATCTAAATCGCTGACATTTCATTTCATTGGTCGGTGTGTGTCAGTGTACATCTGTATTCATACAGCTTTCTGCTTTAGGTAATGCTTATTCTAGGAGTAGCAGCCGCCCAAATTGCTTACTCACTCGTAAGCAGTATTAGTGTTTGTTGGTGGGTACAGCCTTCTAGGATTTTGCGTAGGAATTGAATTTTTTTAGCTGAGGGTAGCGTTGCAGGTCTGCAGCGCCACCGCGTTGTGCGGGCAACCGCAAAATGTTACGAAGTCTGAAACTACGGCACGTAGAATGCACTGTCTCGTGGGAACTAGGTTCAGTGTGTGTGGGAAGGGGGTTTGAGGTTAGGGCTAGTTGTATATGGTATGTGGTAATCAAAGGCGCCCACATCCTCTAATACAGAGCAGGTTTGGTCGCGAATAGGAGCTTCGACCGAGCTGACACCCCTGCCATTTACACTTGCCCGTCTCAAAGGTTAGTGCTGAGGATGAGCGTCCAATCACAGTGTCCTGGCTCGACTCTGTCAATCATAAGTGTGTTCATGAGCGGAGATGGTCTCGAGTTTGTGAGTTGTACCATTAGTTAAGCCCCTTCAACACCATCCGCACGATTTTTAATGGGGGAAGAAGATAATCGTGCCTCGGTGAGGAGGAAGAGGTGGGTGCTGAAGCTCCCATTCCGCCCACCCTGTGTTTTTTGGCTTCGGTGCCTTTGGGAATCACCTTTTGTTATTTACATTGTAAAGCAGAAGATGATATTGTTTTAGCATTTTGTCAGCGTCCAGAAACACCAGCTACCCACCATCACAAGCATAAGGACGTTGTTGATGATGATGATGATGACGGTGACGATGTTGATGATGTTTCTTTCTGCTTTCAGTCTACAAAACGTTATTGATTGTACTTTCAGGTTACTTCAAAATACTGAGAGGCACTGATGAGTGTGGAATTGAAGATCTAATAGTTGCTGGGGAACCAAAGCTCTGAGAACTCTCGATCAGACAGCAGGACAATGACATAGACATGCCCTGTAGCTAGACTATTGGGTGTTCCTTAACTGTGACATAGACACGGTCTGTGGATGAACTGTCAGTCGTTTATTGACAATGACATTCAGACTTGGCATATAGCTATATAGATTCTTACTTTTTTTACTGACAAATGTATAGACACTAACCTGTAGCTAGACTGTTGGTTGTTTGCTAACAATGACATTTAAACGAAATGTAGCTAGACTGTTTGTTGTTGCTGACAATGACATTGACATGAACTGTAGCTAGGCTGTTGGTTTATTGACAGTACCACGGATAAGGCCATAGGCCAGACTAATAGTTTTTTATCGGTAATGTAACTCAAAGCTAACAGAATAAATCCCTAAGACGGAATAAAGTGTTGCTTATCTTACCATGTTTTCTTTCTGTTGTTGCTTTTGTAACGATATTATATTCACGTTTACATGGTTTTTGTGTGTTCATCTCACAGTAAAGTGAAGGCCCTCACCTACGCACTCGAACACTCTGTATGTTTGAACTGATTCGTTTTTACTTCCTGGGAGTGTACCATGTACTCATTTAAGGCTGGGTCGAGAGGGAGCCAAGTCTATAAATGAAAAAAAAAAAAAAATTACGCATCCGCAGGAAGCGTCTAGCCACTACACACAGCGTGTCCCCAAAATAATAAGGCTTCATGGGGATATGAACTTGCGACCTTAGGCGAGCGACTAGCCGCTACCTCACCGCGTCTCCCTCAAGTTTATAGCAACAGTTTTTTAAAGGAATGGATTAGCCAGTATAACTCAGAGCCTCCTAATTCCGATCTAATGCTATGCATTAAAAGAGACAGTGTTTAACGGACAATTAAGTCATAGTGACTGACTAAAGTTCAACCCAACCAGGACATCACACTGAGCGATAAACACCCGGTGACACAAAGTGCCACCATTCGGATGAGGATCACTGGGGACAGGTCCCAGAAACCCTGTTTAGCCCAAAGGTTGGGTTATAATATGGCCACCGGCAAGGGCCAATGTAGGGCTTTAAAAAAGACAACAAAAATTGTCTTCGACATTGGGAGGCAGTGGATATCTTCTTCTCTTCTTCTTCGCGTCTACCGCCTCTAAACTGCTGCAGAAAAGTAGTGCTGTTCGTCCACTTCTGGACCGTAGTCTTGTTCCATAATTTGGGTGTTGTGTGCACATCTGTTTTACAAATCTGGCTCATGTGTATGCAAACTGCTGGTTCCTCGCATCTCAGGCACATGCACTTTTGTTTCGAAGGAGGATATTTTATTAAATTGGTTCACACAATAAGCTACTTACAAA